ATAAATTTGCATTGTCATTATTTTAAAACTAGTGTTTTTTAATGAATAATTGTGTGTTTATTTCTACTTTTTCCAACCTACTTAAACACATTGTGTATATGTGGGATGAATGCCCATGCCCAGCCTTGATGAAAGGTTAAGGTAGTTCTAAAGATTTGCAATAAAGTTCAATAAATTAAATAAAATTTATGCAGGCCAGGATAYCTATAAGATAGTATAGTTTACTTATAGATTGCTGAAATTAGTCATTGAACTACAATGTCTACGCACCTGCCAGTATTTTAAGATTGCAAAAAAGCTCTAAAGATTGTTTTTTTTTTTTTGTTGCAAACATCCATTAATTTATTAATTTGCACAGGAGTCAACTTTTGAATCATGTATCATTTTATTAATCTATTGAATTTGACTCATGCATCTCACTATGCACTAAAATAATTTTGTTTACAATGAAATAGCTATTTAAAACATATATTCTTGCAGATAAATAAGTGCAAAATGTTTCATAATTTTTCTGTTAAATTTAAACTTATTCTGCTTTTCTCAGAAGTTTGGACCAGGGCTTTTGATAACTTTCTTTGTTTGCATTGAGTAATAAAAAAACACAGCTTGTCATTACACCAAAACATATTCTGCACATCTCAGTTGTTATCTGTTTAATTTAGTGTTTTTTTTTTCTATAGGCCACAAATTGTTTGATACTTAGAAGGCAACAGAGTTAGTTTTCAAATCAGTTTTATTTCACAATAACTAAACATAAAGATGTCACATTATATAACAGGATATAACAGCTGCACCATACTATAGAACTTCAAGGGTGACTAATTTGCAGACTTTGGCTATGTTTAAGTCATGTCCTTATTTTGTATCTAAAAGAAAGGATATGATAATAATTACAGAGAAAGATACACTAGTAAATAGATAATAATATATTGGATATTTTGGAGCTTTGATTGTGAGACAAAAGAATTGCACATTTTTATCATTTGAAGTAAAGCGTGGATGTTTTCAGTAATATATTATGATTTTAGTAAATGTAAAAACAAAAAGCAAAACGACTGAGGGACTTTTAAAACATAAACATCTAACAGGCTTTCTAATCTGTTGTCACTGGGTTTTATATATTTGAGTCAAACACAGACTACATACATACATACATACATACATACATACATACATACATACATACATACATACA